TTAATGAGTATGTTTTTCTGCTGTCCATATTAAAACCGAACCCTATCCAGCGATTTGTTTTAGAGGTCATCGCCCTATATCTCCGTCCCTCTCGCACCCCATACGTCACACATCCTCCGTCCCTCTCTGCGGGGAAACGCCTCCGGTAGGACCTTTGATTTTTTTTTTTAAATAACCGGAACTTTGGTTTTCGGTGATTTGTTTTTTAATATACACTTTCGATGGGGTAGGATTTTTTTTTTTATAGAAATTAATTAATTTTAAGTCTTTATAAATATTTACTCTATATTTAATAACATAATTTACTGATACAAGTATGTTTTTTTATTTATTTTTTCATCAATAAACATGTCCATAAATTATACAAAAATTACTTTTTCAACTACTTAGTAAATACGTAAGTAATTCATGTTTCAAAATTTAAATATTTTTTTACTTTAATTCAGTCCGTTCACGTAGAAAATTATTTAAATATTTATAAAATTCCTTCCTTAAATTTAATTTCCAACCAAAATTATTCATTAACAAAAAACGTTCTTTTTTAATTTAATATACCTAGTACCAGAGGTATTTTTTTATTTCAATTTATTTCTCATTCATAAAAGAGATTCAAATAACTATAAAACCCATTTTGAAACGATTTAATAGTTGATTTTATTTTTTTTAAGTCAAAAAATTAAAATATTTGATTCATACCATCAACATTTTATCAAATTTAACAATATTATGATCAAAAATTTTATTTCGTTTAATTTAATAAGTAACACTTATAACATACAAGCCTTCGTTTATTTCAATGTAAATAAAAAATAAATAACTTATAAAAGGATTGACGTAGGTCAGTGACCCGGCCATTCATTCCAATTTCAAACTTGGAATTCCGCGTGAAGAAGCCACGTACACACACGCACACACACACACACACACACTATTGAACATTAATATGTATTTGTATTTATGTGGGCCACGCACACATGTAACCATAATTATATGGGTCGCCACACAAACACAAAGCAAGTTACGTCTTGTTTATAACTTTATTTAAGTCATCGAGTTGTCTTAGTAGTGGAACGCGAATCCCAATTTAATATAATTCAAAGTCAACGATTTTCTATTTTTAAAATGGAGAGCATGATAAACAAACGTCGAGTGTCCGTTGGGTTTCATTCCGTTCCGATTTAATTTATAGCACCACGTAATATAACAAAGAAAACCGATTCGATATTAGAAACTGGATATTTTGACTACCAGCAAGCGATTTTAATCTTTAGTCTCATAATAAAAAGATGATATCCGTACGGCCGACCTCCTTCGATGTTATTTATTCGCCGAGGAACCTTCCCACTTCCACGAATTATAATATGAACCATTCGAATTTAGAACGGCGACTCGTGAACAAACAAAAAATACGAGGACGGGTCTAATACATTCGAAATTAGAACGGCAGAGAAAAATAAAAAGGAACACACGCACACACGCACGCACGCACGCACACAGAGACACACAAGGAGTCCACACGGACACACAGACACAAGGTGCGTCAGCTTGGGGTAGGTCCGGGACGAATTGGGGGCCGACGAATGTTGGGTTAGGTCAGGAACAATGTAGTAGGGGAACGTAGAATTGGCCTGTGGGACTTTTTATTCATTGTTTCCTAACCCTTTATTTAGCTATTTATATATTTATAGATAAATAGTACTCGGTTTCTTTTGTTGGAATAAAATTATATAACGAGGCATTGTATAAGAACGACCGCAACGCTAATCATGACATTCTGATGAATCATAATGGAGACTCGCAATGTCAATAGCGTCCTGCGGAGACTCGTTACGAGCCTCACTCGTGATAAAAGTCAGAAGTCGAACATTACATATTATAATACACACGTGAACCGATAACCCAGACCGCACAGTTCCGACTCAGATCTCAATTTAGCAATCACGAAGTTTACTTGGTCGACCAACTTAAATAGGCCAAGTCAACTATTAGAGAAATCCTATTCAGCGACTGGCAATTTGTTTCATGTGCACAACTTACATCGATGGAACGAATCTTACTACTACAAGTAGGACATATCTTTGGACTACAACGAACACAGAGGCTTAACAGGGAGATTTTTTTGATTTTTATACTCATAGTTTAATATAGATCTATTGCTGCAGTTAGTAAAAACCAGCCGTCACCAGTTAGAACCGGTGTGAACGGAACAAGGCTGGTATTAAAAGCGTTAGTGGCATTGATAGAAGATTAATGTGTTAAAGAAACCAGCTTCAGAACGATCGTCGGTTATGATAATTAATTAAAAGTCACATGACTTCTACACGTTAAAACGAAAAAAAAGCCTCTCAACGACGCTCTCGAAATAAATTAGCTCAGCCAGGCCGCAGATTATCTGTAATCTAAATAAACGGTACGCGAAGAAGTCGGACCGGTCTGTAAAAAAAGCCTGACATCATATCCCTATTCCCACATAGGCTCAAGTATCGACCGATGCCATCGAGTGAACGATCTTTCGGATCTACAAAAAAAATATATAAACTACCAACGGCCAATGCACGACGAGAGCAGTACGCGGTGCGACTGCGTTCGCTCGCAAAAAACTCGGGGTTGACGACCTCGCCGCGTGTCCTTCGAGCTTACGTTTATGTGTAAGTGCGTACACAGATGTTGTGTGCATGTGTGCGTGGATGCCTCCGAGTGCGTTAACTTGTACGCAAAAAATGCGTCCGTGCGTCTGTGTGTATGTGTGTGTACGTGTGAGTGTGTCTGTACGTGCGTGCGTGTGTGTGTGTGTTACGCATCTCTTAATTTTGTCATTACATTGTGGACAAAATTGCATCGGACTGTGATTTTTTGCTTCTATTTTTGAAATTGCAGAATTTAATGACGCTTTTAGACATGCTTCATAATTTCGCCGTCGCTGTGTCGTCTTAAAACTCATGTTTGATGTATAATGCCTTTTTTTATATTTTTAAAAAACTTCCCATTACACGTCGATAGTGCGCGTATCATATTAGTTACTGTGTCTATATAAACTACAGCCGTCCAGTTAATTATCCGAGCTGCTTTTAATTGTATTTTGTTTTAGTAATTGGTGAGGTCACTCGCCGTCGGCATTTCGGCCGTTTTAATTTAAAGACGTTTGTTGGATGTTTTGTGATTTCGTCTTGACCTAAATAATATTATTTTTACTTATAATGAAATAAATATACAGGAACACTTATATAGGTACTTAATATTTATGTAACGACTACCAAAGTCGTCCTTGTAAAATTGATTTAATGAAAATAATTAAGAAACATCTTTTTAAAAAATAAAAAAAATATATTAAATATTTCATCAAGATAGCGTTATTTACATTTAGTTTAAAGAATAACTTTCAGATACATAAAAGGTTGCCAGCTATCTGAATGTAATGGAACATTGATAAAAAAAAAGAAATATTAAAAAAGAACAGAGTCTATTTTAAAATTTGAAATGATTCCATTTTTAAAAGCGCGTCAATTAGGATAAAGGCCGGCGCACACTGAGCAAACAGCGCGAGTCAATAAAGGTGGACACACACTGGCTTTATATGGGCGTGGAGAATGTATGAGTTTCAAATATTACTTGATTTGTGTATATAAAACATATTAAACTTAAAACATTATTTTTAATATACTTATTAGTATAAAGTTTTATACTATGTAACTTGTATTTATGTCATATTTGACTTTGTACGTCTAATTACTTGTAACCACTAAACAATGGGCAGCGTTTTAACAAGAGCTAATTAAAAAAGTTACAATAGCTTATAAGTTTGTTTTGATTAGATATTTATGTTAATGTTAAATAGGTATTTAATTTAAATTAACTTGGCTTTTATACACATTAAATTGAAAACAGGAAAACCTTGATCACGTCCGTAACGTTTGATGTTGAATAAATTGATATTATTCGTATAAAATACTTAGTTATTAAATATTTTGTAAGATGTTTTTTATAACAAATGTATGCTTAATGTTCGATGGGTTTCACTAATTCGGTTATAATTTTATTCTGTAACCTTTAGAACGAGTTTTCATTGACAATTTGACAAATTGGAGAGGTGATTTAATTTTGTTCGTATGTAGGTAGTTACAAATCTATTAAACGTGAAGTTATTGTATAGATTATGAGTTGACTTTTTTTAAAGTATTTTTTTCAAATGAATAACTATAAATCCGCAAGTTTTTGGCACTGATAAAATGAAGTATAAATTTATTAACCTTTTATACATATATTATTTAAATTACTACAAAGAAATCTAGAGCCAATACATTTTTATATAAGATTAAACGTTCTCAATACGTTTAGCTTGAAAATTTATTTTTTTCGAGCAGCGATAAGTTTCTCTCTTAAGAAGTAACGCGATGTCGGCCAGTGCGGTCCACGCCTTCTAGTGGACCCAATTTAATCAGAGTAAAAGTGTTCAGTGTGCGACGCGCCTTAAGGTTCGCGCGCGAACAAATTGGCGCGTATAATAGTGACAGATAAAAAAAAGACTGGTAACTTTTTTTGAGGTGTATTTTGTATTGTGCCAGTGATTTTTTTTTTTATTTCTTTAAGTAAAAGAGGTCTTATTTAAATCAGACTTTAGTCTTGGCCCGAGTCGTATTGAGGTCGATTTTTATGTAATTAAAATTATAATATAATGTAACAAGTAGGTATTGGATAAGTATGTTTTATTCCGAATATACATTTTGTACATGGCACGTTTGACAGGAAAATGAGTCATTACAGAAACGCGTATTATGTGATAAGAAAAAAATTAAATATTAATAGCTATGGTTTTTTTTGTATGAAGTATGTATTTATAGAGTTTTTTCGTTATTAATGTAAGGAACGTATGATACAATGGCGTCATGTCGCCGGTTTTATCTACTGATAAATTTTCACTTCCACGTTTCAACAAGGTGACTTAACGTGGGCACAAATAACAGCACACGATTGGTTCAACCCTGAGCCAATTTGTGTTTTATCTAATACACACAAACATTATCTACAATGAGTGGTTCGATATTAAAAGCTGTATGATAGCTATGTTCTGTGTGTCTGTCTGTCCGGGCAGGTGTAACGCTCGTCCTCGGCAGCCGCCGCGTCTGTTCCGCGTGCTCTATAAACAAATAGAGCGGTCGGCCATATTGGTTCGTTAAAAACATTTTAGAAGGCGGTTCTAGGTCGGGGTTTTTGTACAAATTTCGAAGCAGCCCTCCAATGGCGTGGGAGGCGGGGCCGTACGCGACTGACTTCATCAACACAATGACCATTTTTATTTTCATTTGATGATTTCGGCGCTGTTTTTCGGATAGGGACGCCAGCTCGGGTTTTGTTCTACCGTACAGACCTCCGAGCTCGTGGCCATTGTCACAATAGATTTCGAAATACAACCGCCATTATGTTAAGGAAAAAATAATAATAATAATAATACGGAATCATTGAAAATATAAGCGTTAAAAACAACAGCTCATTTTTCTCATTGTCATCGGAAAAAACTGAGTATAATGGAAAATATTTTTATTGACCAAAAGCACTAAAACACGGAATAAACAACAACAAAACGGCGGACGATTGTTTGTGAATGAACGAAAAAAATATTCGATATTACCGAAACAAAGGACTTTGATATAAATAAAAACTGGAAAAATATATACACAATATATAATGAGCCATTATTATAATTATATTAATTAATTAATATATATTTTGAACTCAATTCCGTCTCAAAAAACGATTGTATAATGATCTCACCAAAAGTAAGGTCCTATCATTTTAAACAACCATTAATTATACTAAAATATATATAAATATAATATAATTTACTATAATAATAAAAAGAACAAATAAATATTAATTTAAGCCTTATAAACTTAATGAAGACTGAACATTAAAAGAGTTTTGGAGATTGTCACACAGAAATACAAGCAGAAATATATAAAACTAGCTGACACGGCAAACGTTATTTTGCCATATAAAAAAATAAGGGATTGGTGATAAAGAAGTTAAAATTTTAGGTTGTATGTATTTTTTAATGATACATTATAAAAAAATAAAAACAAATAATTAAGGGTGAACAACCCTTATGACTTAGAGGTATGAAAAATAGATGTTGGCCGATTCTCAGATCTACTCAATATGCTCACAAAATTTCATCAAAATCAATCCAGCCGTTTCGGAGGAGTTCTCTGTCTAACACGATACGAGAATTTTATATATGAGATAAAATTTAGTTAAGAATAAATTAATTTTAAATCAAATTTATCAAAATTTTTAATTTATCGCTAAAATATATACAAAATGATGTAATGGTTTGAACAAATAACAAAATGAAATGAGCATGCGACGTCTGGTAATGGCCGTGGAAAAATATTATAACATATACTGAGTTTAAGATTACTAAAGTTTATTTTAGAATAAACAAAAATTGGTTAATTTTATGAGACATAAGTTATATTAAATGATGCACACAAATTGATTGGACTTTAGTTGAAAATCACAGATCAAGATGAAGACGAGATAGTTTAAAATATAAAAAATAATATTAAATTATTATTGAATACTTAGAAAAAAACATTTAAATTAGAGTTACTTATACTTGCTTACAAATTTTGTAATTTAATATTTCCTTGAACCTTGATAGATAAATTTACAACTACCCACATTTATTATACATAATATACATATATATTAAAAATAGCTTTAAAAAATATTAAACTGATTTTTAAGTCTAAGAAACATGATATTAAGTTATCAGAACTTATACAGGGTGACTGGTGAATTACTATCAATATTTAAGGAGAATACTCGGTACATGATTCTCATTCGAATTATCTAAAAAAAATAGGTACTTAATTTTTGACCAAATTTCCGTATAAATAGATAAAGTGTAGACACGTTCCAAGTGTTCCAAGTGTGGACGCGTGCGGCGGCGTGCTGATACAACAACACGCCGCCGCACGTGAGTGTGTGTGTATAGCTAATCTGTAGGGTGTTCACACGATGCGTAATTAATTACATAACTTTTGGTTAACTTTACTCTGAAGTTTATTAATATTTATGTTATATTAATTTTTATTTTGTCATATATGATCGTCAAATATCACGTCCTCAAATATCGATAGTAATTCACCAGTCACCCTGTATATGTAATAATATAAGTATGTATATTACAACTATACATGACTACTATAGATACAAGTAGTTGTATTCATGGATGTTCAACTAGTGTTTATTCTACCAGTGTGTCACAGACACTGGCGGCCGGCCAACTGGGATGCTGTGAAGATTTGCATCTCCTTTTATTGTTTACAATACTTTGTTAAACTTATATTACCTATAATATTGATTTTATCATAAATTTTAGTTCTTACGTATCATGTTTAAGTAATGAGACCGAAAAATGTGTTTTGTCGTTTTGAAGTAATAAAATCATTGAGATATTTCATACAAATCAGTAAAGTTATTTGAATTGTTTTCTTAATGAGTATTTTAGTTATTGAAATAATCTAAATCTTTGATTTTAATATGTGTTATAGCTAGTTGTTTAAACAACTGAGCCTATGTGAATGAAGTTCATAATATATATTGTCCATACTATAGAAAAGTATATAGAATAATCAAGACTTAACTTAAAAATAAACTTAAACAGAAATAAAAGAAATTTATCATAGAAAATAATATAAATATTTAATAATAACGCAACGAAGTATATTTTATTTATAATAAATCTTAATTAATATATATATGTATTCATAATATTAATTCTTAATACAATAATTCCCATATAAAGCATATCCTCCAATAATTTGAGCGTTCATCCCTAGTCTATTCTCACGGGACCTTTGACCGTCTGACCCTGGATGTAAGAATATAATATGACGTCGGATATGACATCTACACCACATATAATATAACTTAAAAATTATTAAACAAAAACATTAATATACCTAACAATTAGTTTTAAAATCATTTTCATTATGACAAAATAATTAATTTAATGTTTTTTAATTGTATTATATATGTATTTATATTATATATATATATATATATATATATATATATATATATGTTTCGAATGATTATAATAATATCGTTTATTATTTATATTATAATATATGTGTTATCAATATATTATTAGTTCGTGGCACGTCTTCAATGGGTCGTCGATTCATCGATCGTCTAAACTGGGTTTTGTCTTAAACTTTTTGTTACGTCATAACGTTTGTATTATAATATTATATATATTAAATATTAATATTTAATATTAATATCAGTTATTAATATTAGTACATAATATTGAGAAACTTATTAAAGTTATTGAGTATAGATTTACTAATATAAGAATATAAGTGTATTTATTTTTGTTTAATATATATATATATCTATAGTACTTGACAAAAATTCAAAGGTCATTGACCCGTACAGACAGACTGACTTTCTTATTACGATTCTTGAGATTTGGAAGCGACGAAGATTAACCAAGACACTACTTGGGGTTAATACTGTTTGAAATTAATTGAGATGTTGAAGGTTAAAATAAAAATGAAATTATTACAGTATACTATAATTATAAAAGTATTATATGTATATTTGACTTAATAATTGACAAAAATACATATATCTATCTACTAATATTATAAATGCCAAAGTAACTGTCTATCTGTCTGTCTGTTACGCTTTCACGCCTAAACCAGTAAACTGATTTTAATGATATTTGGTACAGACATAGAGTTGACCTTGAGAAAGAGCATAGGATAGTTTTTATCCCAGACTTTTGAAAGGTTCTCTTGGAAACGCGATATAACTGAACTACACGCGAGCGAAGCTGCGGGCGGAAAGATAGTAAGAAATATGTATGAAAATTAGGATATACAAAGATATTAATAAAGATAGGTATATATAATAGTAATATAATTGAAATAATGTTCAAACGACATATGTTTATGAGTTACTTACAATGTGACAGGTCGACGAACGAATGAGACGCGGTAATGGCATCTACATACATTATCACACAAATATATATTAAAAATGATTAATAGCAAAGGTTCGTTTGACTTTAATTAATTGATAATAATTAAGGTTTTAGAACTGTTTATTATAAACAGATTATTAATTAATACATGTTAAAAACAATTCAGTTATCTGCCAGTTAAACATCCCGTAATTTTCGTTTCGATACGATCTCAAGGTTCAACTGACCTTTCATGTTGAATACCTATTTAATTTTATCATTGTTTTTCCTTTGTTTCTATAATAAGTTTAGAATACAAGTAATACAAGCTGTATCTGGATAGCTGATAAAAAATGTCTATAGTTTATAAAGTACGCCTCAAAAGCTGTCAAACGAGAGATGATGAAACCTGCCCTACCCCAAGGGTCATTCACTGCAACATTATTTTGTTTTTTACCCGCACACTAACTAAATACACGCGGACCGACACGTAATAACTTATGTATTATAACGCACAGACGCAGGGGAAACTGGAATTGGAGGCTGGCTTAGAATTAAAAGAAAAAGAACAGACTGAAATGATATTATAAATTCGGACGCTCTTACATTGACAAAGGATTTTTAATGTTTTATAGATTTTCCTTTATCTATACAAATAAATGAATTTACAGTGTCTGTTTGTAATATTGAAATAACCGTTTTAACATTGACACACCCACCAAAATAACATTTTTTGAAATTTTTGTCTGTCAGTCTGTTTGTTCAGGTTAATCTCTGTAATGTCTGAACCGATTTTGGCAGAACTTTTACTGACAAGTAGCTGATATAATAAGGAGTAACTTAGACTACTTTTTATTCAACTAAATTAAGTGGAATTCAGGACGCACGCGGAATTAAAAAGGTTTTTAATTTTTTCTTTTTCCTTTTTTATACAGACAAAGTCTCGGGTACTAGCTAGTATATAATAATAGTATATATATGTATATCCATCAATATGTTGGTACAGTGAGTTTTGTTTTTATATCTCTACCGCCTAGTATGATGTGCGCGTCGCTATAGTTTTTACAGTCCGGTATTTATTTACCGATGTATAAACTTGATCTTAACTAACGCCATTTTGATTTGAATCTTCATTTTATATTGGTTCCTTGTGCTACTATTTTATTATTTCATATATTTATTAAAATATCTCAAAACTATTAATATTTAGACAATTATTCAGTTTGATATCAAAAGGTTATTTTACATTTGTCTTGCAAATAATATTTTACTTCCCTAATAAAATTCGCAAATAATACTGAAACTTGTTACTATTAAAACAATTCAATACACTATATATTTAAAATAATTTATTTACTATATGTATTGTTATTTAATTTTAGTGTATCATCAAATGTTCGAGATTTATAAATAAACAACAGTATAGATTTCCGCGTGTGATAAATGTTGTTTGAGCTACGTACATCTGAAACAACAAACAGACGCGGAACAACAAAATATTATGTTATGAATACTTTACAAAATATGAAAATATTATAAACATTATGATTAACAAGTATTAGGTAATTAATAAATATTAAGACACCGTTTTTAGTGGTGGCCTAGTGGTTAAAAGGCCGCCACTCATGCAAGGCGTGGGTTCGATCCTGGCAAGTACCAATGTCAATTTTCGGAGTCATATGTACTTTCTAAGAGTATTTAGACATCACTGATTAATGCATTCCCAAAGAGGGTTGATGTCTACGGCGGCCGGTCGTAAAAACAATTAGACAAAGCTATTCACATATAAGGCAGAACCTGGCTAAAGCTGGAAAATTGCCAGGTAGAAGAAGAATAAATATTGTTGTAGGTACAAGTTGAATTTGTTCCTACGTCTGAATGAGGTCAAACAATTCGGGAACGCAAGTGAAAGTAGACGCTTTGTTAGTTCGAGATGAAGGACGAATATTCCTGGGTGGTTCTACATATATATGAAAAACATATATTCATAAGTTATATTGATTATCAAACAATAATATTAATATAAATTTTATATATATGTATTGTATATTGGTATATTGTGTCGTATAATGAGAAGTATCCTGTTTATTTAACAGGATTTAATCGAAAGTCTGTTCAGAATGAGGTCATGTAATTTTGACAGACACACACACACACACACACACACACACACACACACAAAGTATGTGTCACACACGTGATCACTAAAGAGTATTTATTACTTTTAAAACTTTTTCTACTATTTATATTAAATATATTGGTGCATATAAATATTAAAAATGTATGAACTTTATCATATATATTATGATATTTAATATTAATGAATGTCATAATAGTTGTATGTATGTCTGATCTTAATTTTTAACGGGAAGCGACAGATGTTTTCGGATAAATTGAATGAGTAAGACAGACAGACAGCGAGGATTGTAGACTACATCATTAATATATTAAAAATAATATTATAGTTATAGGATTTTAATTAAAATATATGGATAAATGTAAGCTTAAATATTCAATGTCTCAAATCGACTCTACCAGCCTGTAATGTGATTATATATGGAAATACAAAATAATTAATATATATATATATATGTTTTTGTTTGTGATATATTAATATAATAGAAACCGTCTGCTCGATATATGTAATACATAAAACATAAGTAAAAGTTAATTCACAGTAATCATAGCAACATAAACTAAATGAGACATTCTATGTTTTATTGTTCAAAGAAATCTTTATATTACATATATATAGACTTTCCAATTCGCACATTACATAATATTAAAACTTTCACTATATATACATACATATATACATATATAATATTAAATATTATAACGCTTCTAGTTTTATATTTCATCATTACCCTTCGCGTTTCTAAGTTAAAATGGCCGACTTGTAGTGACATTGACAGTTGAGTAACGCCTTGGCCGAGCGCATGCGCACGCGCAAGGACTCGATATACAGCCAATGTGAACTTTAATTACGTATCAGTTAGGAAACTTTTATATTCATTATTAAATAATTATTAATTTTAACTAATATTTATATATATTAAATACGATTTGTTTTTTTTTGTATAATTATTTATTTTGTATATTTTTTTATATGTTTTATCAATTTTTCGTTAATATCCATGACCCGATTTAATTTCCAATATAAAACACAATCACAAACTTCTGTTAACTGATAAGAAATAAAAATGTATGTTTTTAAAATTAAAAATTCAAATTTTCTGAACAAAATATTTAATTTTTCGTACATAACATATCTGTGTGTGTTTAATAAATAGTATTCTTAACTAATTTATTACTTTCCACGTGTTTTTTATGTATATTATGGTAATATGAATGTCAGAATCATAATTCTGATGTTCAAAAATTACGAAGCGTGCCAACAAAAAGTTCCGTCGGCTATGTTTTAGCCTACGACCTCAAACGCGTAGCATCGTAGATACTTAAAAAACAAAAAAACAAACTCTAAAACTTACTCAAACTGTTTTAATATTATAACATAATATTATTATTTAATTTGTATTTATTTATTATTTATTTTTCTTATTTAAATCTATTTGATAGTCATTTATTGTGTTATCAAAAGTTGTTTAACTAACTTGCGTCGCCCTGTGTATCTAGTCATATTTAGTATGTAATTTAAATGTGTAATAGAAATCTAGAATAGCATTTTCTATGCCGTCATTGGCCTTCGATTCAAAATATAGGTTGCAATTTATTAACACATGCTCGCTGTACGCACACAGGCGTACAGAAGTGGGGGGTTATACAGGGGGCTCGCACTATACATATTAATATAATTAAAATCACATACAGGGTGTTAACTGTTAATTTAATTAAACCTACTTACATACGTCAGATGTGCTTTGATCGCCCGCGGTCCAGTTTGACACTCGGCTGGTAATTTTTGATAACAAAAAAAAAAAACTAAAATAAAATAAAAATTATAACCAAAAGTCCAAATGGATCACCTCACGGTGTTAAGTCAGCCGTACATCACAACACACACACCTTACACACAATATATTATATATATATATATATATATATATATATATAATTAAAAATATATATATATATCAAGTCGCTGGTCCTATGTTTCTATCTGATATGTCATGCATCGCAGTTTGACGAACACAGTAAAATATCACTAGATCCCAAAATATATCGCACTTTATATTATACAAAAATATAGTCTCGTACTTTTTAATTATTTTTTTTTTGTCAAAATATTAATATTTTTTGTTTCTGTCTGATGGCTGTCTCGTATTATTTTCGGTGGTCGTATTTATATTATATTTTTATCGTTTGTCGCGTGTGTGGGAGCGGAAATGCGACTCGCTACGGATTGTGCATAGGCGGGACTGCACCGTCGGACTACTCCGTACTAGACGGCGTGCGTACTTAGCCATTACCTTGTATTTACTGCGAGCGAGCGACCGGCACCACCGTCTTGATACTTGATGCAACGTGCACTCTGCTATATATTTAATATAAAACACACATAACTTACAAATAACGATATCATTATATATGTATTAACAACACTTAAAATGTATACATCAATATGAATTAAGATCTAATTTAAGTATTAGAAAAATTTTGAATAAATTTTGAATTTGGAACGCTTATGAAGTTACAATGTTCTCAATGCAACTTCAAAAATATTAAAACAAAATACTGAAATAAAGTTATACGTTGTTTATTATATGATGTAAAGTTGAACGTGTCTTACGAAAAGAAAATATTATATTTAGAAATTCAAAATAATTTCATGAATAGTAATAATTTTGGTACAAGATGTAACATGTTGTAATGTATGTCAGAATATGTAATGTTATTTAGTAAGTACGTTACCAGTATCAAGAGCGGCCGCGCGCGCTGTAAGGCACACATGCGCAGAATGCACCGTCGTTGATGCGCGCCGCGCGTGTGTGAGTGCCCGCGCTTGTATTCGAACCTTGGGCATTTTAGTTGTACTCACTTATCTTATCTTTTATAATAATAACCCCTAAGACTTGTGAATTTAATCACGGTTTCCTTCACGCCGACACCGAAGGGCCTCGGTTGGTAATTTTGAAAAAAGTTCTAAATTTCAAAAATAGAACGCCGTCCTAGCGTCTGTGTGCAAACTGAATTCGACTAGTGTTTGTGTGCAGTTTTTTTATCGTTTTTTTCTCAGAGTGTGGGTGCGTTCGATTGTGTATTCATTGTGGCGTGTGTGTGCGTGTTGCATACGGGCCGCCCCTGTGTGTGTAGTTCTTGTAAGAAATGGTTCGGTGAAAAATTTTGTCGGAATCCGTATAGATGGCGCTGTAACTATGATGCAAATAGCACCATCAAAAATTATGATCGGCCGGCGTCACACCGAAGGCGCTCCTATAGCTATAGTAATAGGGAGTTTAATCGTTCGCGAGTCGTTACAAAAATTTGAGACTAGCATGACTACTCATTTTCCAATCGCAGTTAGGAAGCCATTTTATTTCGTGACGTGTTGAAGGTTATTAAAGATAATAGTTGGTTAATGGCGGTTAATTACATTGATTGTATCAGGATGTGATCACAATAAAAACTCCACCAATTAATGATATTTTCAAAGAGTTTTTTAAAGATTTCTATGTAAATATGTAGTTGTAGGAAGCCGGCTCGTAACTCTCCACAAGAAGGATTCTGTTATATTGTTCTGATATTAAGATTGTAAAAGTTTTGTTCGTCGAAGTTATTTTCGGTGTGAGTGAGCGTTGTGGGTTTGTTGTTTACTCTTCGTATAATACTAACGTTTAATTAACGCTACATTTTTTTCTTACATTTACACGTCATTAATACAAATTAAATATAACTTTATTATTTTCAATAATTTTAATTCCTAAGAAATTGGTAGTTTTTTGTCTAACCTTTTTTAATTTCAAACGTTTTCATAATAATAAAAATACATAATACTTATTTTTAGTATGTTTTTGTAATAATACGTCATAAAGAGTATATGCTTAGTAAAATTAGTCACCAAGTTGTGTTTCAGTAAAATTTTGAAAAAAACGATTGTTTACCCAAAAATATGAATTCGCTGATTTAGTAAGTTCAAATTATTTGGTTGCAAAAAGAGTCAATTCTTATAACAGACGATTAGAGAAGGCTTTTAAACATTAAGGGACTCACTGAAATATATTTTACTGTTGAATTAAAGATAATTAGAATCTTATAATAGTTTAAGTTATTTTGAGACAAGGTTTTTTATATTTTTTGTGATTTAAAGTAAAAATAGGAATGAGTGGTACAAGTTTGATATTTGTGTGTGGCAAAGCTCTGAATTGGCTCTATCGATTTTGATAAGGTTTTTAATTTAAAAGTTATTTTTCTTATAATTGTTCTTAGCTATGTTCTGTTAATACAGCTCTATGTTTGGTTAATGAGTCCTACAAGTTATATTGAATGTGTCCTAGTATAATAATTAAATGACTGTTAATATTTTAGTTTTTTTTAAGTTCAATAAATTTTCGTCTTTGTTAGTACTACCGACTCAGTTACTTACGGAAGGATTCTTGTCAAGTGAATTATAAATGTTGATGTATTAAAGTAATTAAATATAGTAATGAATAATTTGGTTTTATTATCTTTATAAAATAATATAATCTATACATTGTGAAATTATTTAAGATTCTTATGTATTTGTAATAACTACATGTATCTACATTCAACATATGTTATTTGAATATAATATGCCAACACCTAACATAATTTATACCCATCATAAAAGTATTAAAGATCTTAAGATAGATCTTAAGATAGATCTCAAGATATTTTTTATATCTCATCACTTTTATTCTATCTCATTTTTAATAGTAATGTAAATTTTATTTCTGGTTATAGGAATATTTTAATCGTTTTTTAAGTAAATATATTTTTTATGAAGTGTATATTGTCTTGTCAACGTCATGAATATAGTACGGTCGGGTGAATGTATGTCTGTCTGTGACGGCCCTTCAATAACACGAAACAAAAATTTCGGTCAACATTTTATTTGGCAGAATTAATATAAAAAGCAATACAAATGTCACTCAATAAAAATAGAGGTTTACGTATTGGAAAATTATTAATTATATAAATTTTATCGACTTAGTGTTTGGCTTGTTTTGAAGTTATTGAATGAATTTTTTGCATTAATATAGAAAATCGCCTAGAATTATATATAAAACATTTGTATTATACGTATATATGTTACTTATTTTTTTATAATTATAATATTAGTAATTATTTAACCTTACAAATATACCTATATAAGTCATAATTATATAATTTTAACTATTATAATATGTTTTATATGATTGTAATACATCAGCTAGTTTTTCCATGATCATATGAAGCGTCCCTCGCTATAATCCAATCAAAATAAAAATAAAAAACACTCTCGCCAATTCTGATGCGAGCCATACTCTGTTTATCTTATGGGATACACACGAGCACATATACAAATATATATATATATATGTTATATTTATATATATAAAAATATATGTATGTTTTTTTATCCAACAGTTATTAACAAAGAGATAGGGAAAATTCTGAATGGTTATTTAGTGAGGATATAAAATATTATTGATGTGTATTTTATTCTCATTATAATATAAAAATTTAATTTATTAAAGCTGTTAAATGTTTAGTTTTTATGGCTTTTTATATTTAATTTTGATATGAAATATGGATTGAATGAAATATTCTGCTTTTTTACTATAGATTGTGAAAATACTAAAGATATGATGATGTAATTTTATTAAGAACGTAATATATATGTTTATAATGTATAGAATATATATTTTTTTGATCGTACATGTATATCTGAGTCCGCTCGGCTGTGGTTCGTATTTTTAACGGTTTACCGTTATATATGAAGCTTGTAGGTCAGTTCATTTTCATTGGGAGTTTTTTGTTGGTTCAACTATTTTTAAATTTAATACGACCCACCAAACTTAATTGTTGTTTAGTGTACAGTGTAACAGTTTATATTGATGAAAAATGTTTATAATATTATTAAATGTTAAGGATTTAATATGAAAATTTTATTTATATTATATATATGTGATTTTCGGACATAAAATATTGAAAGCTTCTATAATTATTTTAGCTAAATAGCAACTCAAGTCAGCTATAGTGAAGCGTTTGTTATAAACAGTCGCGTGTACAAATTAACCTTGATATAAGTCTAACCAGCATTAACAACTTAAATGTACTCGCGAAAAAAACTCGAGCGAATTCCTTTTATACAGGCCGCCATGACAGTTTTTTTGTCGCTAACCTAAGATGGCGCGTGACGTCTAAAACAAAAGAACTATCGACCCCACCCACGAAAAATGTAACGGACTTGGATATTTGAAAAAAATATATATATATCACACGCAAACATTATATACAGCACACACAAAAACTAACTAAGAAAAAAACTAAGGGTAGCAAATAAAAATGTAATGCGAAAATAAATCGGTTATCCCAATCCCGTATCCCGGTCCCGTATCCCGGTCCCGGGTAGAGGGTAGGTAATCCCGTAAAGCGGCCATGCAAAGTATAACAGTGGCACATTTACCGGGGAATGCATCAGGCGACCACTTGTTGCTATCCACAACTTCTCGCTGGCACGACGCTGGAAAACTTCGACTAGACACTTCACAGTACTGTACGAAACTAATATTATTATACGACTCTCAACTACAATAATAATATTAAATATTACATTTAAAAAAGCGTCTAAGCGAAGCCTATTTAAGCCGAATATGTAAAAAAAACTTGCACAGGAACTGTTTAATATATGAGACGTCCACTTTAAAATTTAATACAAAATATATATCGATAAGCACCTATCGGAATGTATTCACGTCACTACACTAACGTCTTAGACGCACTGAGACACTTGGACCGCACTTACGGACTTGATACGTAATAATACAACACTAGCTAAACACTGGATTATTCGTTATAGTGATGTTATAATATCGATAATTAGTCTCACACTAGTATGTATATTATTATCGTTATTTATAATCGTAGTTTTGATTACGGAGAGTACGGATTGCATCGGTGCACGCCGGGCTAGCTGCAACAGGTTGTTTGGAGTTAGTACGGACACGACGCATGCGTACAGACGGACCAGATGCAACGGGCCACACTACGCGATTATTATAACACGTACATACATACATATATATATATATATAATATAATAGGTAGCCTGGAAGAAATGGCTAATAAGTCATAAGGCTGCCTTTTGTTTCACCATTGGTTTTTAAGTTTGTATTTTTTGTAATTTTTTTATAATTTTAATTGTGGTGTATAAAAAAGTGTTAAATAAATAAATATATAACATAACACATATGGATAAAATATACAAATATTTTTTTATCAAAAAACATTAAAAATTAATAAATTAAATTAAAACGATGATTATATTTAAATTTTAACATAATATATATTTTAATATATTTTTTATTGATATAGAATTCCTGAACACATAATCGCCCCGTGTGTATGCCTAACGTTCTTGGCCTGTATAGCCGCTCGTAGAATTAGGTAGTATCCTTTATCTCAATACCCATAGACACTAAGACGGTTACACAGACAGACATACACCGAAACTACATCTAATATTAGTATATATAGAGATTATAACGTACATATATAGGTATATCATCTCATGGAAATTCATCTTTTTTTTGATCAATTATAATTTATTTATATATCTTCTAAATTATTTTGTTCTTACTGTAAATTATTTGGACAATTAAAATACTTTTGTATTAAATTAAATTAAATTAAAATTATTAAAATATTCTTCATGTAATAGTTACGAATAAAGAAACTATTGTTTATTATTTTCTATTGAAAATTTCCTTAAACTATATGTCATTATATATATGTTGATTATTATATTTCAGTTATATGTTTAATATATATATGTTTGTTCTCTATATAATTATAAAATGTCATATATCTTCTTATCCTCTGTCTGTCTGTACGGTTCATACACTTCACACATATTGGATTTACACGAGGATTTAAGATGATTATTAAATATTAATTCCATATAACATTATTATACAAAATTATATTATTTATTACTTAATATTTTCACATTTTTTTAAATAATAGATAGATATAGACAAATAATGTTTTTTATTATTAATGAAAGATATAGGTATAAAAAAAATATTAAATACAGTTTTTTTGGTTTAAATATTAGATTTTGTAATATTAAATTTATTTTATTTAGTTATTTAATAGCTTTACGTTGGGTGATAAGAGTTCTTATCATTCAAATAAGTTCCTTATCACTGAGATTAGATGGTTGAAATTTGTTTAAAACTAAATTATTGAGAATTTTCTTATATTTTCTTTATGTATTTAAATGGTTTTTATAGTAATTATAAATATATATGTATACATATGTTTATGAAAATTAATATACGTATTAAAAATATTTGATTTTTTTCTAATATTTTATGTACATTTAATTCTGGATTAAATAAATTTTAATAAAAATATTCTACATAACAAAAGTTTTACGTAATTTTCAGGCAACATAAATTTTTAGTTATTATTTAAAAAAACTGAAGTAACTTTAAATCTGAGTTATAGGTACTTGAACCAACAAAGAGTTTACTAAAATTTTGATTATTACATTAACGAATTTCCGGTCACTATAACCTGTATCCGGTGTGTCGATGGAGCCTTACGTCACGTATAATAACGTAAGTTATCTACGTTATCTGTAATCCAATACGGATGTGATCCACGGTGTTCCTGGAGGCTGTGTTTTGAGGTATTTTGTAACAAACTTACGAGTACATATTTTATTATGATATACAAAATGTACTTTATGTACATATATATATGGTTTAGTTTACTTAATATAGGCTTTTTTATATTTTCTATAATATTTATATGAGATTTCTTTGTTTTTTTTTTCATATAAATATTATTTTAATATAGTTTTTGCTATATTAAACGTTCCACAAGTCTGTCTTCACTAAAACATACAAAACGAAATCAATCCTAACGTGAACTTTGACTCTCCAAAATGTTAAGTAGCAACTTTGCGTAATAAACCTTTCCTTCATGATATGACGTATAAGGTAGCGACGCGGCATAGGCGGTAGCGGACGATGTAGCGATTTATAATATTTTAGATTTATATATAAAATTTATTTTGTAATTATTTGAACGGAATTTAATAGTATGTTATTGTTAACTTTTAATATATATTTCTATATACTTGATATAATTATTTAAACGTTATTATTATATGTTTATATCCAATCCGCTTCTCTTATATACAAGTAGTTTCCTATATAACAAGGTAAACAGAATTCCAAGCAAGTAGAATGAGTATGATATAACCTAACGCCGTACACTCCACAGACGAACAAACACACAGTTTTAATATCAAATTTCGAACACTACACATGTCTAGGAAATTCTGAACTCGGCCTAAAGTTTTTTAGTCGTTTTAGTTTGGAAGCTAATTTACTATTCCATTTATATTTTTGTATGGATTTAAAAATATTGGTATTAATATATTAGTGTACTAGCTGTGCCCGCGACTTCGTCCGCGGGGAATAGTGACTATGAGCAGCTTTTTTTTTGACATAACTTTTTTATTTATGAACCGATTGACATGAAACAAACACTAAAGCATAACTGAAGCATACCACAATATATTCGTGAAAACCGCATCCAACTGGGATCAGCCGTTTCTGAGATTAGCGTGAACAGACAAACAGACAAAAAAAAGTTACTTACATTTTTGGGTTCGATATCGACATAACAATAACCCCTGCTATGTTTTTATTTTTATTTTCAATGTACAGACAGCACTTTTCTACAATTTTATTATATGTATAGATTATATAAGGCTTTCGGTTCAAGCTTCACGGCTGATTTCAGGTTAATGGATTTACCTCTAAAGCCTGTATGTAGGCTAACGCGACTGTCAAAATATATACCGACGGGAATTATTTGACCGTTACGATACAAGTGCGTGCGTTTATTAAAAATATATGTATAAGTATTATATATGTATGACGTCATCAATACTATTTTGGTTTGAACCGTTTGAATTTAGAATGAAAAATGTTCTTTATTTGAATTTATGATGAATTATATTTCATTATTACATATGTTCTTGTGTGTGTGTGTGTGTGTGTGTTACTATATTTGCTTGAACCGTTTGAATTTAGAATGAAAAATGTTCTTTATTTAAAATTTCGATGAATTATATTTCATTATTACATATGTTCTTGTGTGTGTGTGTGTGTGTTACTATATTTGCTTGAACCGTTTGAATTTAGAATGAAAAATGTTCTTTATTTAAAATTTCGATGAATTATATTTCATTATTACATATGTTCTTGTGTGTGTGTGTGTGTTACTATATTTGCTTGAACCGTTTGAATTTAGAATGAAATAATGTTCTTTATTTAAAATTATTATGAATGATATTTCATTATTATGTATGTGTGTGTGTGTGTGTGTCTGTGTGCCACTCACCCAGTATGTAGACCATGTTCTTGGTCCAGCGTTGGAGCTCCCTGCGTATGGCGCGTCGCTCTTGTTGACAGCGAGCGAACGAGCACTCCGCCATTTCACACTGGACCTATAAACAACACACACACTGAGACTAAGACTTAGACTTAGACTGAGACTCAGTCTGAGACTGACTTACGAGGTTAGAACCACTCTAAAACTCTAAAAGTTAGAAGATAATAATATGTAGAGAGAAAAAATCAACTTATAATATCTAATAATAATGTATTGAAATATACTAAACTAAAATTTTCATAATAATACCAAAGAAAATTATATTAATGATCATAAACATATACATTTGGTACGTGTATCTTTCCCTGTACATCCTCGTGAGCCGGTTTATTTTCCTTCCATATTTCCAGAACAAACATTAACTTGTACCAGTCAAACTTTTATAACTGATCCTACTATAGTGGAGAGTGTAAGTCCGTCTTTTAATGTGTAACTACCTTCTACTCATGTATTGTAATGTCTTTATTATTGAATACAATAAACCCAATGTTTATTATATATGAGGTATCTCTATCAAATACTAGTATCTATAGTTAAATATATTTGTAATCCAATAGTCGGATACAGTTAGTAGATCCAATTACTATAACATTCATCGCACTCAGTCCGCCGGTCGTTGACCCCGACCTAACGGAATTCCAAAAACCTCCTCTCATCAAGACACCCTTACACCCTTACACCCCCAAATATGCCCGAACCACCCCTATTTTGGCCCCCGAATTCTTATAGGAGCCTTCGTCTAGCAGCAGCTGCTCGATCAACTCTCAATTCAATCTCGGGATATATTTATTTTAATAATCACTTTCATCCTTTGAAGACGCTAAAGTTTCATCTTATAGTGGACATCGCATACAGTTATATCATGAGGTTAAACAATCAATTATATAGAAATAAATAAATAATACGAAATAATGCAATAATATCGTATGTCTATCGGTGCGACTGAACGCTCCATTATTTCGAACTCCAGACGAGCGGCGGGCTGGGGGGAGGGGGCGAAGGCGACGGCGGGGCGGGGGGAGGGGAGGGGGCGAGAGTATCGCGAAACTATTCTTATTTTAAAAATCTCTCTCCACGGAATATGCCACGAAGAGGTTCTTATTTTAAAAATATCACGCTCCACCGAAATTTTCTTTTTAAAACCCCTGGGGGGGTGGTACGTTCTTCCGAAATCCACCTCCCCCCACCCCCCTAACCACCGTCCAGTGATAATTTTCTTATTTTATTCAAGACGCCATTACGGCTGAGCGGGAAACGAGATGTCAAACGATGTTGGTCAGGTGCGATGCTGTTTTATTATTATGTGGATGATAATTATTCACCGACTGGGTGACTGTGATTTGATCGGATTCACTCGGTCAGTAGGTCATTGGGAATATTCGTAATATACATACAAATTGGGTTAGCAAAATTAGTTTTTATAGAAATACTTCATTTAAATAGATGTCTTAACGTATGATAATGAAAGTTTTATTATCACTTGACTTTTTTTTAAATTTATTGAGACATTTTTGTTTGACGTCTGTGGATGTACGAAAAACACTATCTTAGAGCTAGTTACTACTGTATTGGTACTTCAAAGCTGTTACTGGCAATATTTTATCTCACATCCTTCACGTAAGATGTCGGAGCAATGGATGACCTCAACATATGATAATTTTAAGTCAATGAAGTTTTGATGACCAATTTTTTTTAATAATATAAAACATATAGTATATCAAAATAACATTAAATCATTTGATAATTAACAGATCCCTTAAAATAACAAACAGCAGAAACTGAAATTAATTTACCGTCCAAAAGGAAACAGACCTTCGAAAAAGACAAACATTTTAAATAAAGAACCCGAAATAAGCACAATGGCTTAAAATACTGTAAACAAAGAGTCCAGACATTAAAACAACCGAGAGACAAATAAAATTAAAACTGGCCGCAAAGAATATAACGCTTCACCGAAATACTTTTTTTAAAAACTTAAAGGAGGTGGAGGTTATACCGAAATCAACCCCCCCCCCCTCTCCCCCGCGCCCCGCACCCCGCCGGCCAGTTATGATATTCTTATTTTAAAATTGCTCGAAGCGTTCCGATTTCGTTATTAAGTGTGTGTGTGTGTGACTGTTCTTTATAAGAGTGTCCTAAGACGGCACAAAGGAAGTCCGCATGTTCACATTTAGAACTGATAATTACTTTTTTAAGACTCCGTATACGTTTTCTTTGAGATAGAAATAATGGCTGTATTACGTGTGCTTTTTGGTCTTAAGAACGCCGCTTATAATCACATGGGTTAATACATGTACATATATCAATGAGTTTCTTTAAAAGGATATTTTTTAATACTGGCTGAATAGAATATATATGTTTGGTAAGTTTAAATTTAAATTTAGAACATTCTAAATATTAGAAACAACATGACATTCATGAAACATCGTGCATTGTTCAAGTTCACTGAGATAGCTTGTAAAGCTTAATTCGGGAATGAAACATTTGGACAGCGACTCCCTACACACACATACACACAGACGGCTACAACTCAAATAAGACCTTGACTCGATGTAATAAGAGCTATATTCCAATAAAACAAGAAGTATTAGTATTTTGTGTCACTAGAACAGTTACTGGTTAAAGTTGAGGTTTGAGGCCGAAAGCGATAAGTTGTTTGACCATAGACAATCCGTCCCATTGATAACTAAAAGGTTACGAATTTAACGTGTCATAATTATGATTGAAAATATAAAAGTACTTATGTAAAACTTTTAGAAACTATATATAACTAAAAAAATTATAACGAGCGAATGTAAGGTTGTAATCGTCTTAATAACGTAGACAGTACGTTCCAGTAAAAGGAATGAGGTTTTAAAAAAACGTAATCTAATAAAACTGTTATTTATTATAGAACGGGAGATAGGGGTGAAATGGGACTAATTTATTCATCGCATCCAGATTCCGATACGAACAAATGCATGCTAATTTAGAAAAAAAAAAGAAACTTCCAACCAATAATCTTTCCCGCCAATTTCAATCGCTGTCAAATTCGGGTCCCCCCGCGGCCAGCGACGTCCCCCCCCCTCTGCCCCCTCCCCCTCGCCCCTCCGATCAATTTACGATAACCCCCCTCTTGCATCTCGCTTCGTCTTAAGAAATCTTTCTATATCCATCTCTACTTAGATTCTAGAATCGTCTGCAGCGGAGAACGGGGTAAAGGAGTTTTTTATAGTTTATCCATTTTAATCGCTGAGCTACTCACTAGTTTATTGATGGCAAGTTAAAGTTAAAGTGTTTTGTTTGTCTTGTCATACACATATGTGTTTAGGGTGACATGTATGTTTTTTTTTGGCGGCCATTTTGTGTGACGTCATCAATTGTAACCGATATTATCGATATCAGTTACCCTGTTCTATCCAAGCCGGTCCATTCTCACACGGATGTGTCCCGGCTGTGTGTGTGTGTGTGTGTGTGTGTGTGTGTGTGTGTATGTGTGTTTGTTTGAAATATTCCCCCGTAGAGCTCGGAATTGATGTTTTTAATTAGTTTCGAACGGTTTTCGTTGGTCTCTAGTATTGCATTTTTATTATTTATTATAAAATTAATTATATACGTGGCGTCGTTTCTAATGCTACTTTTTTCAGTGCCCGCTACCCTCTCAATGGCAGTCTTATATTCGTTACGTGTGTGTCCATGTGTTTGTATTAGTCGGATATTATAATATCGTCGGCGGACAGCGGTGAAGTTGCCTATTCAATTTTGAACAATGCAAAACTTTCCGGGTGACGTTTCGTTTTACGTTTTAGCGTCACGGTAACTTTGACCAAATTGTTTGAAGCTGTATTCAATTAAACTTTATACCAATAAGATCGAGTTCAACTTTGTCATATTTAGTATCGTCATTTACTCTTACTGTACCACTTACAGTTGATAGTTGAAATACTTCAATAGAATTTCGGAATTAATTGAAACAAATGTAATTAATTTAGTATTGTATTATTAATATGTTATATATATATGTATATTTATTATTCGATATCGTATACTATGTTGGTTGGTACATTTATCGTCGACCAATGTATTGTATGAAGGCACTGTTAGTTGTTATTCTGTAGGTTGAGTACCTGTTGCTACGTCTCTATTGTTTTGTTGATCGCTAGTTTTGGTACGAAACAGTTTATTATGAGTCTCACTAACTGATGTAAACACTCTCACTTGATAATACATTACTTTATATTGTATACACCCTAAATATTTGTGGAATAAACTTAATTTGAGGAACATTTAACCTGAATTTAACTGTTCGTTGCTATCTTTATGTATCTTTAAATGTATCTTTTATATCTTTAAAGATTACTTACGTTATATTATATATTATAATGCTGTAAGTTGTCTTTTAATATCGTATAACCTAGCTACGAGTTCGCTTAAAATCTATCAATACTTCCTATTAACTTAGCGTCGTCCGAAAAAAGTCTTATCCCCTCTTATCCAAGTTCCGGGGGGGTGGGAGGGGACCTTCTCCGCGCCTGTGTGAAAGAATGCAGGAATCAATACAGCCTGCACATTAAATTGGCCAGGGGTTTTGACCCCCCACCCAAAAGAGGGGGGCTTATAATAATTAGATTGATACAAATACATTTTATATAACATTAAGAATTTATAATATCGATATTTTGTATTAATTTTATGCTTCATTTATAATGTACTTGAATGGCTTACAAACTTCAGATGTTAGAGAAAATTAAACGAAACAAATTAACTTACAAATACCTTCAAATACAATGATTATATATACAGATATAAAGGATTTAATATAGTTTAAATTATAATATATAAGTAACAGATTGTTTAAGAACATAATTTCGTTTTGCATTGAGAGAAATCTTAACAGAAGTGAGCCATCGTAAGACAATGGTTGGGAAAAATAGTGCGAAATTGGTCATAATGGGTACCTTCACCCCCCCACCCCCCACCCCCGGCCCGCGGGTCAACAGAGAAATAAAATTTTAAATTAAACTCGCGAAAAGACAAAACTGTTGAAGCTGTACGCCCATTTGT